TTTCTAACTCAGAATATGCTCCCCATTCTAAAGTAAGCTCTCATTCATAACTGCAAGACCTTAAACCAGTGTGATAATTCTAAATAGCGTAAAAGATTCAAAGTCTTGTGAAAGCACATTATTTATAGGCATGAACTCTCTTTATAATTTTGAACATATTCTGAGTAACAAAGACTTAATTTAGAGTTATTTGGACACTATTAACACTTGTAGTTTTGTGTTTGGTTTCATAAAAATAGACCATATCTATTAAGTGTTATTATAGAGAATGAGTATTCTTGTGGTACTACTACCTTACAAGGTCCAAACCATAATCATAATAAGATGTATGTACAACTTCCTTACTTATCATCAATAAGCAGCAATTAGGAGGTTATTGGCCTAGTAGTTGTAGAATATGGACATGCAGAAAAAGGTATGAATAACTGCTTAATGATGAGTAATAAAAAGCCAATATTCTACTAATATAAATGCTAATAGGAAACTAATAGTGAATGTTATGTTACCATTATTTGTAGGCAGCATTTCAATGTAATTGTGACACCTTTTCTTCCAACAAAGATTCATTATTTCCTCATCAGAATGTCCTTGTCACTCCTAAATGTTACACACTGGACCATTAACTGAATAAAAATGGTAAATGGACTGTACTTTTATAGCGCCGACCACTCAATGCGCTGTACACTATATGCCACACACCCCACCCCATTCACACACATTCATACACTGATGGCAGTAGCTGCCATGCAAGGTGCCAACTGCTCACCAGAATGGAAACGAACCATTCATACACATCCACACACCGATACAGAGCATCAATTTGCGGTTCAATATCTTGCTCAAGGACACTTCGACATGCAGCGAGACGAGCCGGGGATTGAACCGCCAACCTTCTGATAAGTGGACGACCCGCTCTGCCAGCCACAGCCGCCACGGCATTTAACAAATGTTCAATGTTAACATTTAAAATAATTGAATACATTTCAAACTTCCTTATTTCTAGTAATCCTGGGTATGGCTATGAAATTATATGAAGAGTTATTTCCTTCCCAAACTATGTAAAGACATGTCAATGAAATCAAAGTGAAAACCCTAATTAAACAAACAAAACATGACACAAAGCAATGTTCTTTGAAATACACATAGATTTTATTGGTGACGGTCTGACAGTGAATACTTGGCATTGATCAAAACACACCCATTACTGTGTAATAATTGCAAGAGAACAAGACATTTAAGTAACTCAAGATAAAAAATAATTAAAACTTGTTTGCATCATCAATAAAGAACTAAAAGAACAAAGTGTACATTGTGTTTCTGACATTATCCTAACTACAAGCTCAATCATTTTAGCTGTAAAATGTATATTTTAGATAGTGTTAAGCAGATACTTGTACATGATGCAAGCTGGCTAGACTGCTACCTCAAATCAAACCCACGGAACCACTGGACCTCAGACTGACTGACCGAAAAGTTCTCAGCTGAAAGGTCAAATGCTGCTGTTTCACGAGAATAGAAGGTAAACAAGGTAACTGTCAGCTAAACATGTCTTCATATATCATAGCTTTAAGTATAAAGCTGCTACATAAGTATCCTGTGCGTCACATAATACTCAAGGTTGCACAAAACACATTGCAAATATTTAACTGAGGAAACAATAGAAACATGGTTTTATTAAATCCTCCCTCTTGATATCCACCCTTTGTGAGTATAGAGATGTGTAAAATGAATAAAAGGTTATTCAGTTAGTTATCAGTAAGGTAGTGAAGTGCTGCCCTGCTATGGTAGTTATGAGCTGCCCTCGGTTATGAGCACTAGTATCGACTTCATTAGCTCAGGAAGCAGCAGGGTATCACACACAGCCAGTCTCCAACACGGCTACATGGCTGAGGAGCACAATTTATTCCAGAAAACACCACCATCATCATTATCATCATTATCATTTTGTGTATTAGTAATAGTAATCAAGTTGTTGTTTGTTGCTTGTTGTTGTTAAGTCATTCCTATGTGACACATGCGAGACATGCATTGCAGAAAGTGCCAGAGACAGCAGCTTGTGTGACATTGACACTGAAAAGCGAGACAAGCCTTGATTCACAGTTCAAATAAATAACCAAAGTAAATGGCTTTAAAAACTGGGTATAACATCTTATTAAGATATCAAGATCCTGGAAACACAACAGCACAAAATTTCTAATATGCCTGTGGGGGTTGTTGATCAATATCCATGTCTCAATAATTACTTGGGCTTTTTGTTGAGTCAAACAAGCAGACGACCAACAGGTTTTTATCACCGTGATATGTTGCCTCTTCACAGGTTGTGTCATGTTTAGCTCTTCGCTAAACAGCTAGCTTAGATAGAAGATAGGTCTTGTAAACAACATCGCCGAGTTGTGTTCGGATATGGTGTCAGGTATATGAATGGAATTAGAAGTTTCCAACTGTAACTGCCAAAGTTGCAAGGAAATAAATGATATAATATGCTGAAGCAGGTGTATGGGCTGGGTCACACCAGCATTCATAACAGAAAAAATTTAGACCAAACTTAATTCATTTAAATGGAATCAGTGCAGTTACTCATGGAGGCAGAGTACATTTGCACAGTGCCTTTGTGTCGAGTTCAACTGAATTCTGGTGGCCTCAGTATGCCTCAAACAACATGCTTGTTGGATCAATTTTTGTAACCTTTCTAATGCTTTACATGCTTTCTGCGTCACATAGATACCGTTTGTCTGTCTAATTAGTTATGGTTCTTGAACCAGTGAACCAGATTTATGAAGATGGACTTCAATTTTGTACTGCTGGCATGACTAACTGTTAACTGTGGTCCGTGACTAACGTTAGATGTGAATCATCATACATATCATACATCAAATAGGCTATGTCAGTATTATTCAGTGCACTGCACTCAGCATGGGCTGAGACAGTCACTGAGTTTTTAGGGATAGGGAGTCCCCACTTAACATAGTGTTAAATATTATTGAGTTCTTGAAGAGAGTTTGGTGATGCAGGGTCTTTCTGTAGTTGCTCTGAAGCATACTGTGACCTTCACACATGAATTTGCACTATTTCCAACAGTTTTGACAGTGTTAACCTTTGAAGGAACAAAACCTCTAGGTATTATATTAGCTGTTGCACCTTCCAATTTTATATAACATCTCAATGAGAAGTTAAACCAACAGTGTTTTTCCTATGATGAAGGTAGCCGCAGGCAGATGTACCCACGGCATGATGTAGTCACTACATCCACAAGCTGGGCTGAGGACAAAACTTTTTTTTTCTACCGATGTTGTTGCAGTCCTAGCTAACAGAGGTGTCTTACTGTAATGCCCATTTAATTCAAGCTGTTTTGAGAGGATGTTAGGTGAACATGTGGAACATTGAGATGTGGCAAAGGCCTTCTTTCAATCAGTGTGATGCTCAGTGATTACTTCTGAATTCACACTAAAGCTAAGTATATTGTCAGGAGGGCGAAGAAATGCACTGTATGTTCCGATGGGGTGAGTGAATATTGACACATTTTATTCATACTAGGCACTCTTTAACCAATGTGGCATTTTACTTATTGCTGACTATGTCTCAGTTTTTAACACAGAAACAACAATTTCTGCTAGATGCAATGGCTCAAGCTCTTTGCAGTAGGTGGAACACTCTTAATATGTCTTTAATGAATATATAATAAATAATTATGAAATCCCTACAGAAGTTGTACTGCAGGAGGGACGGAAAAGTTGACTGGACACATTCAGATACTGCCACCATTTCAAAGCTATATAACGGCAGACTTAATCATTGAAATGTTTCTTTAAGGACGGAGGTATTCAAATTTCTTTTGTGATTGCAAAAGAAAAGTAACAGGCGACACATCCAGTCTCTCACCGTGAATGAAGACAGAAATCAAACCTGCCTTGGCCTCTCATGCTATGGCTGGTGAGAAAAAAATGCTGAGAGATGCCCATGTGAAAGCACGCACGCATGCATGCATGCATGCACTCTCTCTCTCTCTCTCTCATCTCAATCGTCTCTCTCTCTCACACACACACTGCCAAAGCTGCTGAAACAACGCTAAAAATCTGTACAATATTTAAATACTGTATTTACAGAAATAAACATACTTCACATTGTCTGTCTCACCTGGCCTGGATTCAAAATATTCAAGTCGGCAAGTGGCATTTTGTCCACATGAAATAATCAGAAGCATAAACAAATAAAGGCAACAATTAAGCGCATTTGATGGCTGTCCTGGCTTCTCAGATTTAGTCTGCAGCACGTTTCACATTCTTGGATTCAGATTTAATTGTGGGTACTCTAAGTGGTTTTGCTTGACGTGAGATATACTTAAAGATGAGATATACTTCTCCAGAGCATGCCATCAGCTTTTAGGCTGATTTCCTTACATCTAGGTAGGGCTGGATGTTGGTACCTCTTTGGTACCATCAGCTATGCTACAATACTCCAGAGTACAGAAAAATGGACTGTGTCATTTGGTAATATGGATCAATACTCCCCTCACTGGTTCAAGTAAGGATGCCCAACAAGATCCTTTGAAGTTAGTAAAAGGGCCATATTTTGTAAGGACGGTTCTCCTATCGTCCTGATGCTCGCTGCTCGGCAAGAGTGTAACATCACCTGTCAACAGGACAGACTGTGTAAGCTATTTATCTGCTGAACAAGCATATAAATTTGCAAAAATGCAACGTCTTCAAATCCCTGTCACATCTTTATCCACAGCTGGTGTGTTTGAAACAACCATACAGCTGTAGTTAGGCTACCAGTGAAGTGTTAAGAAAAGGTTGAAAACAAAAGCTATCTGTATGTGGTTGTCAAACCTAATTAGCCACGCATATTAACGCTCAACAATAGCATTTTTGTATATAAATGAATATGTGTAATGTCAAAGGAATTAATCGCAAAATGTATCTGTACAAACTGACAGAGTATGGTTTTCCACAGCACAGATGGATGGTTGGATGGTGCTTTCAGCTCAGTGTTTTGGTTTCATGGCACGCAATTTTACCGATCAGTCTCATCCTCGTCAGCCTGGTTTCCAGCAGCAGCAGGTAGCTGTTTCTGGTAAATAGGCTCTGATATCTGATGAGGCATTTAAAGCTAAAGAGACAGAGATTTTTTTCAAGAGTTGGTGGAGAACAAAAACAGAGCTAAAGGGAAATTAAATATTGGACTTCATCTGGTTTACACAAACACGACTCCAAATAAATGCTACTGCTGCTCCATATCTCCTGAATGTCAGTTTGCTGTATCAACTTTGTACGATTCTAATCTGTCAATGTTTTTTACAGCTTGTTTTGCTGCCCTTAAGTGTCCAAACAGTCAAGTCTTGGTCCCATCTTCATCCATGGCTGATCCATGACACAGCCATATGTAGCAACAGCTAGCTTGCAAGCTCTGGACCTGGTTGATAATGTTTGCACTTGTCACTAATGTAAGAACAGTTTTACTGATCATGTAACTTTACACAACTTTATAATCGTTATTATTATTATTCGTCATATTACTACCAGAGCTGGGGGCTGTCTCTGCCTGTTAAAAGGACATTTATCCTTGCCGTTGTCAAAATTAGAACCAGCCAAATGCTAGTAAAACATGTTTTTCATGCATACTTTATACATATCTGATGATGGAAGAATTGACAGATGACCAGCGCCAGTGACAGATAGTGATAGCTAAAGTTACCGTAGCAAGCATGGACTCTCAGAATGCTCTATGATTCCCATTCCCTATTACAAAGATGCTTAAAATGGAAGCTAACGGTATGTAACCGTTTATCCTAACTGGCCATGTATGTGTTGATGATTACTAATTATTACTTAACTAAGCCAACCGGTTGAGGCAGACATTTGCCAACCTAGAACCTGGTTTCTAAGTGTTTAAAGTTTTTTCTTGCCAAGGTCTTGCTCATGGTGGTACTGTTGGGTCTCTGTAAATGTTATAAGGAGTTCGGT